AGTTACTACATAGTAGTACCTTGGAGAATGCAGTTTTCATTCCTAGAAGAAGAAACCGTAGTAGTTGTGCTTGCCTCTTCCTTACCATGCAGGAATGTGCTGGAGTTTTCATTAGTCATTGAATATTGCTTAGAGAGCCTAAGAGGGGAAAAAGCACTTGAAAGAACAAATCACTCTCAATATTGCAAAGTTTAAAAAAAAAAAAAAATCAGAATTGTTTTAAAGATCAACTTCAGGATTGGAAGCAATAAAGTTATTATTACGTTAATCTCAATTGGGATATCGTGGACAAAGGAGATGGCCGCATTTGAAAGCATTTTTATTTCAAGGAGGCAGTGGAAATGCTCCTTTATGGGCACGACATCGATGTGGGAGTTCGGTAGCACTGCAGTCTTCCTCTTTGTGATGAAGTCAATGTCAGTGCAGACGCCCGGCAGCTGTTTTCAACCTTCTCATTGTTAAGGATGTCAAAGGCTCTGCCCTGGTCAAAGCTGAATAAAAGGGGACAAATTGCTGGCATCATCTGTGTTTATGTTGGCAGCCCTCTACAGCGTGTCAAAGTGCACCTGTGTGGCAAGACTGAAAAACCCAGAGCGCTATGCCAGTTTGCTGGTTGGATGGGTAACTGTGAAGCAACTTTTTACAAGTGCATGATTTTTGTATTGAAAAGATGACTCACTTTGACCATGGTGTAACTAAATTCCTCATTTAAGGACTCTTCTTTGAGAAAAAATTCTTCTTAAGAGCTCTAGAGCTGTACTAGACGGTATGGGAAGCAGGTCTATACATTATCTAAAGCAGGGGTGGGCAAAATGCGGCCCATGGGCCGGAGGCGGTCCACCAAGCCGTTCTGTCCGGCCCACAGGGCCCCTAAAAAAATTAGAAAATTAATATTAATCTGCCCTGGGCTGCTTGTCATCCGGCCCTTGATGACTTGCCAAAACTCAGTAAGCGGCCCTCCGCCCCAAAATAATTGCCCGCCTCGATCTAAAGGAAGACAGCAAGATGGGCTCTAGCTTCATTATAATTCAAATGGATTTCTCCCTCCCTTCTGTACGTTATAAAACAGGACGTCTGGCGTTTTCATGCTTGTGGGTGGGAGGGGGGCATATGGAGAACTTGGCAGATGTGGTTTTTGGTTCCTTTCATCTTTGATATAATGCAGAGACATCTTAAATGTGGTCTATAGGGAAACATGTCCAGGACTCAATGGTTCATCTTGATCTTGGCCTTGTACCCAACCAGGAAGGCACATGACAAGCCAGTTGTGTCCCACCCAGCCTGTATTGATTAAGAAATATTAGGACCAGTTTCCTAGTTTATCACAGATAAATAGAGTTGAGCAGTCTTTAAGTGTTTGCCCGTTGCTCATAGCCTGATCCTGATGCAAATGCATTCGTTACTCCAAAGGGCTTGCTGAACAGTTAATCCAAACAAAGTTCACGCTCCAGAGCACTGCCAGTGCCAAAGCGCCTGCTTCGATCGTTGCAAACCCCAGCAGAACTCTTTGTGGCGTGTCACGTGCATCTCCCGGCATAAATAAGGAACAAAGAATGCCCAAGGAATAAAATGAACTATGCAGAGCAAACATTGCCGCACATTCACAATAATCTTGTTAGTGTGGGTTCATGAAAAGGAAAAACATTCCCCAAATATTTCTTTGGTGGAAACTCCTGTGCATATTTTAAAGGGACTGCTTTATCATTCATTTGACCTCTTGTATAATCACGCCGGAGAGCTGTATCCAGTAATCCTTAGATCAGGGCTGTCCAACTGGTGGCCTGTGGGTCATGTGTGGTCCATGGGAGGTTATTGTGCTTCTACCTGCTTGCTGCTCCCCTATCGCTTCAGCTCTTGCTGCAACTGGGGACTGTGTCCCCCCTTTCAGTCTTTGCTTCCTGCTCCTGCCCTGGGGGTGGGGGGGGAGAGAGGGGGCAAGGCACAATGTAGCCCATGGAACTGGGGGAGCGTGCGGTGCAGTGCGGTGCAGTGAAGTGAGGGAGCTGAGGCTGGGGTTGCACACATATGCAGTGCAGCGGTAGAGAACAGGGCTGCCTGTGTGGGGTGCAGTGGGGGTGGGAGTAAGGCCTGAGGGCCTGTGGCTTATCCTAGTGCAGCCCCCCCAGTGTGGCCCAATACATTAGAAGCTGGCCAGCACTGCCCTAGATCAATCTCGATAATTTATATTTGGACTTGGCTCAGGTTTAGGGCCAAGTCTATTAATTTAGGTGTCCCACCAGATCACCTGTTAAGAAACCCGATTTTCAGGAAGTGTGGCTTACCCCTCCTCTGTAAATCAGGATCCTTCTGAGGCAGCTCAGGTTGGACATCCAAATCTCTAGGTCCTTTTGGAAATCTTAGCTTAAATGGTGGAATGATGGATGCAGATGCTGGTTTCTGTTTCATCTGCTTGTCGGTTCAGTATTAGCAAAAGACTTAGCTTCAAGCTTGAATTACTACAATATCACAGGCCCTCGCGTGACAGTGCTAATCACGGTACATGCAATGCCTACGCTATTTTGTGCTACTTATCATTGTCACCTGCGAACAGTTTAGATTGAAGTAAAATTAAATGGAGTCCAAAATTTGCCAGCTCTTCTTGATTTTACCAGTGTTGTGGCTGCTATATGGAAAGTCGTTCTGGTGAACCTGTTTTTTGTCAGTTCTGGTTTTATAAATACAGGAGCAAGGTTGTGAGTGTTGTTTATAAAGGAACCCATGGCTATCGCATAGATTCCAGTTAATGATCAGTCGAGGTGGATAGCTGTAAGTCCACTTGTCAGTAAAGGAAGAACAATAGTTAGACATCCATCGTCGACATCCTAATCCTTATGCATTTGTGACCACTTGATCAAAACATGGCTTTGCCTACCTCTCCCCAGCCTATCAAAGACAAAAATCTGACCATTCAGCATATTGTATATCATGCTCTCCTTTTCATATTACTATGTGAGAATACAATACACTAATCACCAAGCTTTTCTGGCTCCCAGGTTTATTAGGTAGCTGTATGACTTGACTTTGCTCAAATTCACTGCACAGTATTAACACCATGTTAACCTTCCTGATCCTCAAGATGCCCTACCACAGGCTTTGTCCCGGTCCTTCCAGCCTTGCAAAACTAATAGAAATGGCATCTCACGCAACAGGCTTGTAGCTTGCAAGCACTCAAGTTCTCTCTCTTAAATGTTAAAGAACTAGGATGCTTTACTACCTTCTGTCCGCTGAACCACTACAGCTTGGGGAGAGTGAATTGGCTACTTTCCTGCACTGGCCGCTGCATTGGTAACTAATTTCTAGCTGTGTTACCATATTTATTTCACCGTGTGCCTTCACTTGCTTTTGCTTTGCCCCCTCAAGGAAGCAGCTGCCTAGCTACAGACTCTGGGCTGCATTTACAGCCCTGAAGGTTGTGAGAGAAATGCTTTTGCTAATAAAATGAGCATGTGAACATGTCATGATCCAAGAAGCCCATAGGATCATACGAAAGCAGGGCTGGAAGGGACGTCATGAGGTCATCTAGTCTAGCCCCCTACTCAAGGTAGGATCATTTCTGATTAAGCCGTCCCAGTCAAGTGTCTATCCAACCTGCTCTTGAAAATTTCCAGGGATTGAGAGTCCACAACTTCTCTAGGTATCCTGCTCCAATGCCTGACCACCTTCCTAAATCAGACAGATCTTCCTAATTTCCCGTGAAAATTTTCTCTACTGCTGCCAGAGGCTGTTGTTCCAGTCCTATCCCATCCCCTACAGACAGAGAAAAGTGCATCTCCATCCTCTCTATCATCATCCTTTAAGTATTTGAAAAGTATTATCAAATCCCCCCTCAGTTGTCTCTTCTCCAAACTAAATAATCCTAGTTCTTTCAGCCTTTCTGTGTAAGTCATACTTTCCAGGCCTCTAATCATTCCTGTTTATATCAAGCAGTCATTGGCTCTTTAAACCCCTCATGCTGTTTATACTGTCACTACAAAGAAACATCCATGTGTGAAGGCCCAACGACTCCAGAATTACGATCTGAGTCAGCCGCCGGCAGCAGATTCTTCCGTGTGCCGTGGGTCATGTCTTCTATTTCTCCGATGCTATTTTTCCTTAAGGAGATTGTGTTTCTGCCCTAATAGTCTCCCCTGAGCCCTCTTCCAATGCCACACGCTATTTTTCTCAGTAGGAAAAGAATTTAGTGAAAAATGTTAAGGTTTTGAAATCGTTTTTATTCTGTATGAGAATAAAAATGAGACAGTCTGAATATTGCATCTGTGGGGCCCTTGCCTGCTTTCCCTTTCCCTCAGATCAGCTAGTAGGGCTGGGGTTAGGGCAGCTGCTTGGGGTAGGAGGAAAGTTGGGTTCACGTCTACAGTCTGAGTGAAGTAGGTGATTCATAGGTAAGTGCCAGAGCTTCTGGGGCACTGGCTATTCCGGTGCCTCTTTTTCTTTCCTTCCAACCCGAGACCTCTCCTGAGGAGAGCATGAGCTCATTCAGATGTAGTGGTAGCTCTTTGTGGCTGCATGGAGTCACGGGTTGACTTTTGTTCTCCTGAAAAGGTTTAAATATGGTACCTCCATTGTTTGCCAGCTCAAGACATAAGACTAGTGCACAGAGATAGGCACCTAACTTCTTTAGATGCCAAAATCCACCATGGATACTTCATATCCATCACCCAGCTGCTACTTGCTCTGCAGGCCCTGAAGTGCCAGCTAGTGGGCATGCACAAGCTAAGAGTTACTGCTACCCAAAGTCTAACAGGCAGTTTGGAGGCTTCACCCCATCCTAGAAACCTTGGCGTGTGATCCCCAAATGGGGCGTTCCTCTACTTGTACCGTATAAAGAGGAGTGTACGTGTGTCCTAGGTTCCTATAACGTATGGGGGTTCAGACTCAGGGCAAATCTAGTGAAGCAGGGATTTGAGCCTAGGTTTTCCCCTGGTGAGTGCTTTAGCTAGTAGGCTATTGACTAATCTGAGGTGATGCATCTCTGTCTTTATCTGTCTCACGCTTTCCAGCTCTGCCAGGAAACCTGGGCTAAAGGCCTATCAGCAGAAGAGGAACTCTGCGCAGAGGTAGGCACAACTCTTCATCCCTTTCCTCTCCTTGGCTAAGCACAGACAGTCAAAATGCCTGTGGTTGAATTGATTCAATCTTCACAGCTTAGCCTAAGCTGCAGAGATTGAATTGATAAGCAAGTGAACAGACGTTCACTTTTGAATCCAGAGATGCAGCCACATGCCTGCAGTGGCTCAGGCCAGAAGCTGGGGGGCACTAGAGCACTTTTCCCTGCTCAGCTGCAGCAGACAGCTTGGGCCAAGGTTAACCCACCTGCCCTGCAAGCGGGGGGGAGGGTTTACAGGGGAGGTGCAAAACATCTTGGGATGCTGGGGGACTGTGAGTGAACTTAAATCTGGGGGTGGGGGGGTCCGGGCAGAAGTTCAATAAACTGATTTAACCTAAATCAGTTAAATCTGATACTACATCCATTCAGGTATATCTGAAGCCAGTTTTGAAAATGGTTTATGTGCACTGAACTTCTGTTGTGTTACAGATTTGAACTGATTTATGTGTAATTTATTAATTATACCGATTTATATGTAATTTCTGTCCCTGGCACTCTTCACTCCTGGCTGGTTCAGGCAGCTTCCCACTTACCTGACTTCTGGGCATGAGTTCTTTAGATGCTTAACTTCCCCGTTAGATGGAAGGCAAAATACCTGTCCTGTCTTTGGGGAAAAAAAAATTCTACTAGGCGGCGGGGGGAAGTATTGAAGCTTTAGCTCTTTCATAGACCTCCTCACGAGGACAGTTGGCCACATCTGTTGCAGGCATGTTAGCATTTCTCATGGCTTTGATAGACTGTATGTATGGAAAGAATACCCTTTCTGCTTCTTCCAATGTTATTGATTATCATGTAAATTTGTATTTCAGCTGGAACTGTAATAGACTCATGAGGGATTTTTTTTTTTAACTAAGACTTGAGGATCGAGTGGATACTACATTATACCATTATTATAGCTTCAATATTTTTCTTTAACTGGATTGTTTATTATGCATGAGTTGAGACACAAATGTGGAATAAATGAAGCTGAGATATCAAATTAATGCTGTGATCTTGGTTCCCCCTTCTCCCTGCTTTGTTGCCATAACAATCTGTGACACTTGAAGCAACAATAAAATTAGAATTGCATTAAAGGTGTTTACATCATGTACACTCTGTCTCCCATTATTATTTTTCATTGTAATAAATGCATTTAATATTTGCTTTAGGAGTGATCACTTTTCTGTTTCTTGCCTTGCTGTTTCTCATGTTCCCTTTTTTCAACCATTCAAGGTTTGTTTTATACAGTGGGGAGTAAGAGGGAAAAATGTGCCTGAATTTTAGAATGGAAAAGTTCATTCTTTGTGGCTTTAAAAGCTTCACATGGATGACAGAGGATCATTGAAAACCTCATCACCTTTCAGTCAAAAGAAAAAGTATGACCTTGCTTTGTATCACAAACGCATAGCAATATATATCTATATTTTGCTGTATGATGCCTATATATACATGCATGCACACACGCATCATAAAAATAAAATCCAACACAAAACCACCCCATGCGCTTCTCCATCTGGGGAAAGGATGAGAGAACAAACAAATGGCAGATATTACTCATGTTGCTTTAATGCACTACATGATGGTGCTTAGACATTTTAATAAAGAGCATGATAGATGCACTGTCTATTCTATAAAGGTTCTTTTATTTTATAGCTCTTCAGTGCTTAGTACCATCACATTTTTTAGCCATGCCACATCCAGTATATCTGATTACTCCTTTCTTCCCCAGCTTTACATGCATTCTTTATAGATAATCCTTGTGAAAAATCTTGCTTAAGAAAAATGTGAGTTTGTACCTATATAACACGATTACCTTACACAGAGGTTGCACCTGGGTGGAAATGCTGTGAAGGGATTTCCCAATCTACCCTCCAATCCTGCTTTTCTCTCACAGAGAAATCTCCCATTGGTTTCTTATCAAGTTTAACATCCTTACGGATTGTAGGGTCTAACAATTATGCACTAACAATTTAAGCACTTACACTATTTACTTCCCTGATCATTTGAACATGAGACCTACAGCAGAAGTCTAGCCCCAGGTCCATTTGTAAATAGAGGCAGTTTTCTTCTGCCCTTGTTTCTATTTTGTTGGTTTTCATACAGCTTCAACACACCGTGCATGGAAAAATTTCCAGACTGATTTCCATAGAGCTCCCCTGACTTAATAGAAGTTCTGTGCATGACAGTTCTGCAGCCTCCAGACTTCGTTATGCTGTTTGTTATCCTTCGGTGTTCACAGGCAGGAGCACAGTTATTTGCTCTGCAGCTCTAGAGCTGAGATCTCCCCAAAACAAGGTGACTTTGTTTTTGGAAGAACAAAGGAGAGTGCTAGAGGGTGCCCAGGTACCACGCCAATGTTTCTAGAGTTTAGCGAGCTAGGTAGTAGGGCTGCGCGAAGCTTCAGGTGCTGATTCGATTCAGAGGAGATTTGGCCCGATTTGGTGGCTGAATCTCCAAATCCAAATAGAATCAGGAGAATCAGGAAACCAGTAAAAAGGTCTGAATCAATTTGAAGCTCTCTGAATCGATTCAGAAAAGATTTGGAGAGCTTCAGTGATGCAGGCAGTCCCCACTGGCTGCAGCAGGGAGCTGGACACTATCCCAGCCATCCACCATGGCTGCCCTGCCTGCCCCAGTTCCTGGCTCTTTAAAAAAAAAAGCCTCCACTTGCTGGCTGCTGCCAGGCACGGGGGGGTGTAATCCCTTCTGCTCCCCACTGCCCCATGCCACATGGGAGGGCTCTGCCATGAGCCTGCCCGACCCCCACCCACTCTCCCAGCCCCCGCCATGGCTACTCCGCCTACCCCAGCTCTTGGCTCTTGGGGGGGAAAAAAAAAAGAAGCCTTGACTCACCAGCTGCTGCACTAGCCTCGGGGCTTCTGGGGGCCCATGGTAAAGCCCCCATGCAGCGTGGGGCAGTGAGAATTGCTCCCCCTGCCTGGTAGCAGCCAGTGAGTCAGGGTGGGACAGCCCTGGCGGGGGTGGGAGAGCGGGGGGGGGGTGTGTGGCAGGGCCCCCCCATGAGTCGTGGGGCAGCGGGGATTGTCCTCCTGCCTGGCAGCAGCTGGTGAGTGCAGGCTTTTTAAAAAATGAGCTGGGAAAGCGGAAGGGGCAGTCATTGAGAGTGGGTGGGGATGAGGCAGATTCAGAGATTTGGCTGATTTGACTGTAGCCAAATCTCCAAATCGGATTCAGCCAAATTGATTCGGGGTAGTGATTCAAATCACTGAATCGAATCACTGTCCCCTGAATCAGCTGAATCTGAATCCAAAGCAAATACTAGCTGCTTCGCACAGGCCTCCTGTTACTTTGGGGTGTGCTCATTTATTAGGGATACATTTCTAGGGTCTTGGTAATTCTGTCAATGTGCTGCTTGTGTTACTTGTGTTTCTATATGGAGCTATATATATCCCTTCTGCAAGTCCTCACCCCCAATGGAGCCATCTTGCAGGACTCAGTTTCAATGGGGCTGGGTTCCTCCAGTCACCAAATCAGTCATACACACAAACACACACAAATTAACGTGACACGCCTGACCCGGCCGGGTTGATCAGCATGGACAGGCTGACACCTTCATATGCCAAGAATCAGTTCATCAGAGCAACAATAAACTGCAGTCAGACACAAGCACACGGGTGAACAGAATCCCTCTGAATCTGGCTGGGTGTCCAGCTGACACCCTCATGGGCCAGCATTCAGTTCATAAGGGCATGTCTGAGTCAAACTGGGACAATCAGCCTGTACAAGCTGATCCCCTTTTGTGTTTCAAACTCAGCACGTCCCAATCTTTGGCCTCTTGATGAGCAGACCCCACAGTATTTTTGGGCTTCACAGGGATCTTTAGCTTAGGTAAAAGAAGCGTTGCTGCAGAACATGGGAGGAAAGAGAAGTAGAGAAGGAAAAATGTACTCAGTTACTACCAGTTTGACTATAAAAGTTATTTATTGCTAAGTATATGAAATATATAATGGTACTAATAGTAATAGACATGCAAAGGAAAAACCAACACAAACAATTACAATACTACCCTGGTTTCACTAAGTATTTGGGGAAACTTAGCTCAAGCTTAACTAATAGCGTTCAGGTTCAGAAATTTATGCCTAGAGAGAAAAGAGAGAGAGAACACTGGGATCTCACCAGTCCAAGGTACTTGAGTCTCAAAGCTGACAGGTAAAATTCCTAGCACAGTCCTTGAAGGGAGATGATCTGGTCTTCCACCATCCCAAGAACAACAGGGGATGGTGTCAGCACACGATTTTTCTTCTTGAAGCACACACACTGCTACTTTATACAGATTTTGATATAGTTCAGCTGCTTTGAAGCATTCTCAACAGTGTAAATCATTGTCTTTTCTCTTGATGAGGGGTTATCCCGTTTCGAACATCTCAAGAAACTGATTGATAATCAGGAAACACATAAGGTTAGGGAGTAACCAGATACTTGGGAGCCAGCTTGAAATTCTTATGGATAGCAGATATACTGATGGGATATCTCATGGTTTCTTCAGAAACAATAGATAGCTT